TGAAGTATAACCGAAAGCCCCCAAATCCCAGATCCCAGCTCTAGAGAACAAATATCACACGTTTTGAGCCTGTTTTTTACATACTCTAAAATTTGATTTAAAAATTCTTTTTTGTTTTTGAGTTGGAGTCTCACTCTGTTGCCCAGGCTGGAATGTAGTGGTGCGATCTCAGCTCATTGCAACCTCTGCCTCCTGGGTTCAAGTGATTCTCTTGCCTCAGCCTCCCGGGTAGCTGGGTTTACAGGTGCACGCCACCACACCCAGATAATTTTTGTATTTTTAGTAGAGAAGGGGTTTTGCTGTGTTGGCCAGGCTGGTCTTGAACTCCTGGCCTCAGGTGATCTGTCCGCCTCGGCCTCCGAGAGTGCTGGGATTACAGGCGTGAGCCACTGTGACCCACCCGATTTAACAATTCTGACCAGATCCTGGAAATCAGTAGACATCATGGATGGTCATTCCCAGACAACAGAAACTGAATGTTATAAAAGGGACTCAAACCACCACATCCATCCACACTGATGGACTATAAGGCAATGAAATGACTGATTTAACTCAATAGCCATCCAAAACATATTCATCTGCTCTCGGGAATGAGAACTGTTTTATTGAGAACTGTTAGATCCGGACTTGACAGAAGGCTTACCAAAAGGACCATTTGTTTTTGTTTTAACATAAAGTAGGACCTCCTCCATTATAACAGCAGTACTTTCCCAGACAGGAAAGGTGGAAGACATGGAAAGCTAAAAGGGGGAAAGAATCACTAAAAATACCACTCCCTAAAACATTCATGTTACAGAAGTCACATGTTTTGGTTTACAAAACAGTTTTCCTCCACTAAATGCCTACAACCAAACAGAAATTTCTCATACTTGATAAGTGCTTTTTGTATCAAAGAAAATAGTTATGGAATTTGTTTTGGTTTTATGTACGGATATAAAAACATGAACTATTTAGATATATATATATATAAAAATAGATTTGCTTTTGCATGACAGACATATGCTAAGGTGAATACAATATTACCTAAAAGGCCAAATAATATCACTTTGGTATACAAGAGTGAAAAATGAGGTTGCTCATTATTTTCTGTAGATCACATATCAATTTCATGTGAAAAAAATTTTTTGGAAAATAGAGAATTTTAACAACAGAAGAAATAATTGAGATAAAAACGTGGAGGAAATGAACCAGATATTTACTTACTTCAAGATCATAGAAAATACTTGTGTTTCAGCATCAAATATTAAATAATTAAACCCTAAATTAATTCCATTTATGTTTATGTCCAAACAGACTCAAACTATCTAATGTTAAGACATGCAGGAGAATTCTTAATATGATATCAATTCCTTCTCCCAAGTCATCTCTTATAATGTAATCCCCAGGCTTTTGACAACCATGTACCATTGAGGAAAATTAATCCAGTCATCTCTTTAATTATTTTAATTCCTTTTCCTTCCCTACTACCAGGAACATTATCTGGGAAAAACTGCTATTTTGAAAATAACTACAAATGTTTGTGTGGTAATGCCTGGCCAAAATGGTGAGGGAGAATGCAAAAGGTACTGAACGGATGCACTGAGTAGGTTTTTAGGGAAGTAGCCTTTTAATCAACAGATTAAGGTAGAGGGTTGACTTCAAAGAGGTTTCATGTAACACAATGCAATCTTTAAAGCACAGGGAAAAAGTCCCTTAGCACTGTAGCTGTACTCTCTTAGAGAATGGTCGTGTCCAGATAAACCAGCCCAGCCACAGAGTGAACTCTTGTGCAATGGTCATTTCCACATAAACCAGCCCAGCCACAGAGTGAACTCTTGTGCACTGCAACAGATGAACATTTCTAGTTTGAGCTGCTTCTGTTTTTCCTTCAAACCCTGCCCTCTATTAGACAATAATTATTTAGTGTAGCACGCCAAGCGAAGCAGTTAGTAACACTTTGTTACAGAGGGGGCGCATCCAGGATTAATTCACACCCTCTCTCTATTCACTTCGAAATCTTAAACTGTCTGGGCTCCTGAAATACAGACCTGTATTTTTTTGTCATTTGCCTCCATTTTTGTTGTGATAATAGATAATTTATGAGTGAGTTCTTCCCTTTCTGCAAGGTTTTTGTCTTCAGAGAGTTTCTGCAGTGCCTGCAGGGTATCTTTAGTCTTCAGTAACTGGCTGTCAGTTTCTCTAAGTTTCCTAGATACCGTTCTTTCCTTTTCCTGGGATTTCCTAAGTAGTTGCCTTAAATTTTTTACTTCATTCTGATGTTTAGCCATAATTTGAGGTAGATTATTTTGTGAATTCTCATATTTTCCTATAGCTTTCAAATGCCTAAGCTGAAGTTGTTTCAAAAATTGGTTTTCTGTAAGGATGGCTTCCAATTTATGATGCATATCAGCTAATTCATTTTTTAGTCCTTTAATTTTATGAAGCCTTGCTGAGAGTATTCGATGAGCCATAGCATCTCTTCTTTGGGCAATCATATGGATTTGAGAGTTAAAGAGTGATGCATTCCAGGTGTGCTTTTTTTCAACTGAGATTTCCTTCTGGCCTGTGTAAGCAGATAATCCAGTTTATTACTAGTAATATATACAGATATGCAAATATGCACATATGCATAATTGCCCTCCCACGCTCCCCTGCACACACACCACACACATACACACAAGCATAAGTGTAATTAGAAGGGGAAAAAAACTAATATTTAATCAATATCCATGCTTTAGGCTAGGTGGTTTACATATAAATATCTCATTTAATACAATTATTCAAGGTCAGTTGTAATATTTTTATAGCTGGAGATTTTACGTCATTTGTCCAAGGTTACATAGCTACAAAGTGACACAGAATGGATTGAAAACCAGGTCTTCTTTGACTCTAAAATCTGTACTTAGATTTCTATTATAACAGCTAGACTGAAAACTGTGATAATAGGCCAGGTGCAGAGGCTCATGTCTGTAATCTCTGCACTTCGGGAGGCTGCAGTAGGAGGACTGCTTGAGGACAGGAGTTTGAGACCAGCCTGATCAACAGAGTCAGATCCCGTCTCTAAAAAAAACACAATTTTTTATGTTTATTTTTATTTTTTGGGGGGACGGAGTCTCCCTCTGTTGCCTAGGCTGGAGTGAAGTGGTGCAACCTTGGCTCACTCCAACCTCTGCATCCGGAGTTCAAGCAATTCTCCTGCCTCAGCCTCTCGAGTAGCTGGGATTACAGGCATCTGCCACCACGCCTAGGTAATTTTTGTATTTTTAGTAGAGATGGAGTTCCACCATGTTGGCCAGGCTGATCTCGAACTCCTGACCCTCAAGTGATCCACCCTCCTCGGCCTCCCAAAGTGCTGGGATTACAGGCATGAGCCACTGTGCCTGGCCTCTACAAAATTTTAAAAAGTAGCCTAACTTGGTGGCACATGCCTATAGTCCTAGCTCCTCCGGAAGCCTTGGTGGGAGGATCCCTTGAGCTCAGGAGTTCGAGGTTGCTGTGAGCTATGATTGCACCACTGCATTCCAGCCTGGGTGACAAAGTGAGACTCTGTCTCAAAAACCAACCAACCAACCAACCAACCAACCAACCCCATGATAATAGCTGACTAAGTGCTTATCATATGTCAGGCATTAAACTAAATGCTTTCTGTAGATTATCTGATGTAATCCTTTCAACAACATGTTAAGGGTAATTAGAGTGTAACATGAGAGCCCAATGTAAAGAACTTATATATTCAAAATGACCCTCAAAAGGTCATCAAATTATATAAGTCTATTTGTACAGATACTGATTTTCCATCTCTGAATAAATCCAACACAGTCAATTTTTCCTGTTACTTTGGCTGGGCACCAAATGAAGTAATTGGCATGTGTTCAGGAGTCTACCTTTTTTTTTTCTGAGACGGAGTCTCGCTCTGTCGCCCAGGCTGGAGTGCAGTGGCACAATCTCGGCTCACTGCAAGCTCCGCCTCCCAGGTTCACACCATTCTCCTGCCTCAGCCTCCCGAGTAGCTGGGACTACAGGCGCCCACCACTGCGCAGGGCTAATTTTTTTTTGTATTTTTAGTAGAGACGGGGTTTCACTATGTTAGCCAGGATGGTCTCGATCTCCTGACCTCGTGATCTGCCCGCCTCGGCTTCCCAAAGTGCTGGGATTACATGCGTGAGCCACCGTGCCCGGCCCAGGGGTCTGTCTTAAGCAAAAGTCTCTAAAAAACATCACACTTAGCACCAAGCTTACATAATTGAATTTGAGTATGTTGAATACATGTGTAGATCACTGTACTATTATCCCATTTTAAAGATAAACACACTGAAGCTTGGGGATGTCCCTTGTCAATGAGCACACAGCTAGGAAGTGGTGAGACAGAGCCCACTGTCTGTGTTGGGTGGGAACAGGCAATTCTACCTGTGATAGAAACAATGAACTAAGAGAGCCAAAGCATGCTCTGGAGATAAAGCATTTGAATCATAACTATGAAAGAACTCGTAAGATTATACAACACAGTATCACATCAGTAACTGGTGGCCTATCTTTGCAATTATGCCTTCAAGTGTATTTATTTTCCCACAGTTTAGTAGGGGCTATGGCTGAATATTGAGTATTTTAGAATAGGCTTCTGAGCACACTAAGTGGGAAGCAGAGCAGGCCAGCCTCTAGGACGTCTACTAGAAGGCCTGCGAAGAGGTGTCTGTGGTTTTGTTGAGGCCCGTACACTTTAATACTCTGGGCACTGACTAGGGAAGCTCTAGACCCAGGCCATATGGATCAGGCTGGTTTAAAATAGGGGTGGGCAAAGACTGACATGTTCTACACTATGGCCAGCATGACTGAACCTGACCCCCAACTTGTAATGTCTTCCAGCTCTTAGGTGCTCTGACCCTGGAGGAGATAGGGATTTCACTGAGATGAAAGGATGGATGATGGGATCCACGGGCACTGGAGGCTTATATTCCCCTTATGCCATGCTCAAGTGATGGGAGGGCAGAGGCATTAGAGGGTGCCGAGGGACTAAACGCCATGGCCACAGGAGCTCTGGCCAAGGCCCCAGGAGTCAAGAAGTGCACAGAGGGCATGGATGCTATGGAAAGGGGAGGGGCTGGCCTTTTAAAGATCACGTGACTTGGACAAGGAACACGTAAGCGGTAAAAATGAAAGGCAGAGGCTCCTCCCCCAATATTATTTGTGTAAGGCCCTTTCCACATCCCTGCCCCCTCATATTCCCCCATTCCCCAAACGTGTCTGAGATTGAATTTTACCTGTCTACCCTAGTGAGTGGGTGGGGAGGACAAGCCAGGTTTGTTGGCTTCAGAAAGGTAAGTATACCACTTGCATTTGAGGGGTATGTAACAAATTCATACTGTATCCATCACACATACTTGTGTAACTATAAAGGCTATGGAAAATTGAAATAGGGTGTATTCCTTAACGATTTTATATCTCATTATCCTAACCCACACATAAGAATGGTATAATTTATAATTTCAATCCCATTTCACAAATAATAGAAGCAGATTTAGCTGAATGACTATTCTTAAGACAACTAAGTTTTAAACCACTGAATTAAAACATTCACTCAAGTTAACTTAATTCACCACAAACATAAATTTAAGTCCATAGTTGCCAAAACGGCATCTGCACATTATGTATAATGACGTATGCTCTTCTGAACAGTTCTAAGAATGGCCCCATGCTCACTTCACCCACAAACAGGCCTGTCTTCCTTCCCAGCCTGTCTCCCCAGGCCCCCCTCCTCCTCAAACCCTTCCTGTAGAAGCTCTCTTGTCCTCCTTAGTCCATGCTGTTTCCTCCTCCTCTTCTGCCTGGCCTCATCCTAGTTCCCTCTCCTGTCATTGTCCCCTTTGGTCTCATTGTCCCATTCTATCCCTGTGCTCCTCCATACCTTCACTCCAGCTCTGCTTCTGACATACGGACTGGGGGGTCCGCACTATATTTTACCCTAACAAAGATGAACTCATTTTCTCCACGAACCAGGGTGAAGAAGAGGTTCAAAGGAGGAGCCTTTCCCCTTTCTGTTCTCGGTAGTTTCCATGGTTAGCCTGCTAGAGAAGGTGTCTCTTCAACACTGCCTTAGGTTGTCCACCTATACCTGACCAAGGACAACAGGGCAAAAGGTGTTCCAAGCATTTGGATGTGGTAAATTAACTTTTTTTTTTTTGCATTCTAATGTCTTGAATGACCATGACATGTTTTTGGCATTGTATTGACAAAGAAAATCTGTCAAGGAAGCAATTTTAACAGGATATGTAACTGAAAGAGTTCTGAAAAGACATTTTCTAGAAAAGAAGGATAATCTTTGAAAAGCAAATTGCATGACTATATTGCTTGCTATTTACAATGAGTTAAGTAAATTTCCAATGTTTGACCAAAGCAAAAATTCTATTAAATTGAAGTCCTCATTTCATATTCGTAATTTTCTCCATGAAATGTCTTTCTGCCATAAAATTTGCTTTCATCAATTTTCTAAGATGGGAATTGAAAATAATCTCTGATGTTACTGTTCTTTGGTGAATTCTGAATCTCTGTTGGTGCTTCCTCATTCAGCATTACCTGCCCTTAGGGTCAGAGAGCTACTTTTAATTGAACATTTGCTTGAGAAGGGGCTGTACTGGCTAAAACATTCAGACTCTTCGCTTTGGGTTAGAATTATATGACACCAGGGTGGAAGAAATTACTTGCTGCTGCAGACACTGGCAAAACATGAACTGGGGAATAAAAGAAAAAGACGAGGAAATACTTTATTGTTCTGTGACAAAGCTTGAGGTTGCAATTAGTATTTTACGTTCATCATACGCTGGGCAAGGGTTTCCTGGGACATAAAAATCTGAGTTAAAGATGCATGCAAGATTTATTTAAAAGAATTTCAGAGTATTAATATACAAAAGGACACCCAAGTAAGAGCAAACCTTTTACTCTTCTGGATAATGGAATTTAGGATTCTGGTCTCCTGTGAAGTAACTGAATTAATTTAGGTTGTTCTCAATTTATAAACAGGCATCTTGCACAAAGAACTCAATAAGCATTTGTTGAATAAATAAATGAGGAATCAGCTTTAAAAAGCTAAATTATAAGGTACTTAGAACTCAAAATGCAGTTTCTCTCTTGTAGAAAGTTTTATAAATGCTAACTGCCCTCTTGCATGATCCCACAAAAGCTTACGATCAATATAAAATGTAGTATATAGATTCAAGATCTCTTATTGTAAACCCTTGGAACTGGTATGTTGCAGAATTTGGGGGGTTTTAAAGGTGAGTGCATATATGGTATTTTCCACATTTCTCTCATGGGGTCCGGAACACCACCCTTTAATGAAACTATACTTTTGCAGTGAAATATAATGACTCTTCACACTAAGTGAACTAAGTAAAGATCTGCTTCATGTTAGTTCAAATAAGGTTTTTGTTGCCAAATCAACTTTGATGCCAAGGATATGAAAGATGTTGGGTTTTTGGAGACTTGTAAATTTCAAATGCGGATAAGGAATTCTGTATGTGTAGGATCTAACCATGATGTCATTTTTGATGGAGTCCAGGCATGAGAGGAGGAGCGGACTTTTCATTTCCTGCCTTGGGCCTTGCCAGTGGAGGTAGGACCCCCACCTCTCTAGAAAAGTAACATTTAACCTTTTGAGACTCTGGTGAAAGGCACAGGCCCTTCTAGAAAAGTTTACGAACACACATAGACACAAAAAAATGCATAGAATTTCATGGGGTTCACAGCCATGTGTCTTAGATAAAGAATCCCTGCCCTATAGCAGGGGAACTGAAGATTCTGGGTGTTCCAGAAGTGGCACAGAGGGTCCTGGACACAGCTGGTAACAGCAGGCTGGGGACGCAAGATGCAGTGTGGACATGACAGTGGCAGATGTGCCCCCCAAACAGCAGGCCCTTTATCGTCCACCTGTTGACTGAAGTGCTCTGATTGTCAATGTGGACAAGAGCTCCAGCTATTTCTATATGAGGAATACTTATGAGCTCAAGATTGCCTAAAATGAGAGGAAGGAATTACAGTCTGGGCAGGGAAGGAGGAAGAAAGGAGATCAAAGATAGCACAAGCGAATTCCAATTTGGACAGCTGGGACCTGATAGAATTGGTAAAATCTGCAAAGAAATGACATTATTAACAGCCTTTTGAACCATCTCCATTTCAAAAGATGGTCTTTGCCAATATGCCTCACCGGACTTGGAGACCATCCTCTTGGGGTGTTGAGACAGGTATTTACATTTCACTGGCGATTCAAACACTGATTCTTCAGCTGAGATGAAAGGCAAGAAGCCAGTGAAATCCAAGTATTGTGGTACTCTGTAACAAGGCCACCTGTTAACTAAAAACGGAACTAACCTCACTAGTAGGCTCCAGTAGGGTAAGCTATGCAGGGGCTAGGCTTTACATTTGAAGCCTTTCTGTTATTTTATAATTATTCTTAATTTCTCTATTTCCTAATTTCTTCTAGAAAAGTTCACCTATAATACACATTTACAATATGGGAAAACAATAAAACTGAGTATGAACCACTTCAAACACTAGTGCAGGAAAATAACATCATTATGATCAGAAATTTGGTCTTGCTTGGGAAATTTTACTCCTTACCTTTAGATTGGGAGATTTTAGAAACATTGTACTTTTTCTTCTCCTTTTCTTTAACCACAGGCTGCTTTAAATAATTTCTATTAATGGCCTTTTCTGAACAATCACAGAGAAAGTCTTCTGAATAATCATACTGAGAACTTAAACTTCCACAGGAGCACTGAGACCTGCTATAATCAACACTCTTAGCGGAAGCGTTACTGTTCCGTGAAAAATCGCCTGTGCCCGGGCTTCTCTTGCATTCTGCAGATCTCCTATTGTTTTCTAATGCCACGCTGGAGAAATGCTCATCTATATTTGTTTTTGTTAGATCAGCCAAAGACATAGCAAACAACCTAATAAAAGAAAAGTAAAACCTAATAAAATTATTTTTGAATTCATATTTATTGACATTAAAATGAACCTATGCTTTTATATATACACACACACACACACACACATATATATATATATATATATTTTTTTTCCTTTTTAAAGACAGGGTCTCACTCTGTTGCCTAGGTTGGAGTGCAGTGGCGTGACCATGACTTTCTGCAGCCTTGACCTCCTGGGCTCAAGCGATCCTCTCAGCTCAGCCTCTGGAGTAGCTGTGACTACAAGTGTGTGCCATCACGCCTGGCTAACTTATTATTTTTTGGTAGAAATGGGAGTCTCACTATGTTGCCCAGGCTGGTCTTGAACTCCTGGGCTCAAGTGATCCTCCCACCTCGGTCTCATAAAGTGGTGGGATACAGGCATGAGCCACCATGCTCAGCCATGGACACAAACTTTGAATACTTTCAATAAGCCCTTTTCGTTGTCTAAAGTGAGAATTTAAAATGGAAGGAATAGAAAGTCAAATACAAGAAAGACCCCAAATTTATACCCTTAATAAAATTAACATTAGTTACAAAGCAGATGGTTCTGCATTTCTTTATTATGCTACTGCACTAAGGCACAGTAACACCACAAGTATCTCTTCTATAGCAGCCTACCAAAAGCAGATTGAAACAAACAGATCCATCTTCTGAGGTCTTTAAAAGGATTACCTTTCCATTTAATTCTCAATTCTCCTGTTTTATCAAGAGAGCAAAAGAGAATTTAGCTGGCACTAGATGTTTTGCAACAGGAATCTAATATCACTTTCTTTACTGAGAGGGTTTTTCTGAAGTGTTTCGGCTTTCTGATGCATCTGCTTAACTCTAGCCTTCTCTTCTGATGAAATATATCAGGCAGTCCACAATCTCCCCACTACAAGAAATCTTAGTCCAAATGATCTTAGTCATAATTAATATTAGCATTATACTTAATATCTAACTAGTGCTCTTACTTTGTACAAACTGCTTCACATCACCTCATTTCAGCCACCTAGAGGGAATAGGTTCAGACAGGTTAAAAGTTCAGAGACTGTCCGTGTTTTCCAGCTCCAGGGGCAGTGCTTTTTTCATTAAGCATCATGACTGCAACAACACATTGGTGGGAGCATTACACAATCCTAAGGCAAAGAATTTCTCTTTCCAGACACATTCTGCTGTGTAGTGGTGGGCAGAAGCAGATCCTTCTTTGTGAACCTTTACATCTAGATTAAGAAGAATCCAGGCCTGGTATTGTGGCTCACATCTGAAATACCAGCACTTTGGGAGGCTGAGGCGGGTGGATAGCTTGAACTCAGAAGTTCAGGACCAGCCTGGGCAACATGGCGAAACCCTGTCTCTACAAAACAAATACAAAAATTAGCGGGGCATGGTGGTGCACACCTGTAGTCCCAGCTACTTGGGAGGCTGAGGTTGGATTGCTTGAGTCCAGGAGGCAGAGGTTGCAGTGAGCTGTGATTGCGCCACTGCATTCCAGCCTGGGTGACAGGGCCAACTCTGTCTCAAAAAAAAAAAAGAAGAATCCCAGATGTTGGTGTAGGGGATCCTGAAGGACTACAAATGCTCCAGTGTAGCTCTCACAGCCTTGCCTCTCCTTGTCCCCAGGAGCTGTTCCTCCCTGCCCTCTGGCTCATGACCTCAGTCCCTAATTTCTTCCTCACCTATCTTGATAAATCCAAATGGCTCAAACAATGGTTGCTAATTGGCAAGAATAATTT